TGGCCTCCCACATGCTAGAAGGTCAACCCCATCTCAAGCCCAACGAGGAGGAGACGCGAGCTCATCCTGAGACGCAGCTCATCAGCAAATACCTTTCTGATCAGTGGTATGGGCGATTCTACTGGGATGCTGGTGAGTCCTGGGATGCAGGAGCGGCGTCGCGCTGCGTGAAGCGGTGCTGGGTGCTGATATTGCACTGATCATGGCCAAACACTACACGACTTGGATCCCAGCAATCAGTGAGTTGACTGGGCATGCAGCCTGGCTTAGTCGACCAGAAAGCTCATGTGCATGCCTTGATCCGCGCCTCAGTGATATTTGCTGTCCTTACAACATACTTCGCTACTCGTTTTGGAGGAGGCATCATGGCAATGTTCGTCATCGGAGGTGTATGCTCGACGTACTACAATGCCTCTATGCGCAGGACGCGTCAAAGAGCAAGAGACGACATTGCGCGAGAGCTTGCCAAGAAACACATGATGACCGAAAACGAGACCGCAGGGTGGATCAACGAATTCATGAGACGCTTTTGGCTCATTTATGAGCCTGTGCTCAGCGCGACGGTCATCCAGACGGTCGATGCTATTCTTGTGCAGCAATGTCCGAGCTTCCTCGACTCAATCAGGCTGACGTGAGTGACCCCTAAGTGCGAGCATTTGAGGGCAGTTGCGGAACAGCAACTGCTTACTCGCGTACACCTGATGGTTGTCGACCGCTGACTCTTGGATCTTATTGCCCTTTTCGTGCACAGGACATTTACGCTTGGCACCAAAGCACCGCTCATCGACTTTGTCAGAACATTTCCTGCGACGGAGGATGACGTTGTTTGCATGGACTGGAAGATTTCCTTCACTCCAAATGACACACAGGTCAGCTTGCTGTCTGTATCATCGAAGCGACCTCTTGCTGAGCCTCCAATTGCTTTCGCAGGACCTCACCGTGCGACAAGTAGCTCGCAAAATCAACCCTAAAGTGTGCCTGACCATCCGTCTGGGTAAAGGCGTTGTCGGAGCTGGTATCCCCATTTTGGTTGAAGAGTAAGTCAACGAGCTACAACGCGGAAAGTCTGACGCTCACATCATATTCTGCTGATGATCACGTCGTGCAGCATTTCCTTCACTGCTCATGCGCGAATCAAGATGAAGCTGATTTCAACCTTCCCGCACGTGCAAACGTAAGTACGATCTGATACCGGCCAATTGGACAGCTGGCAAGGGCTGACACCATTTCGACTGCCTAATAGGGTGGACCTCTCCTTGATGTCACCTCCCACATTTGACTTCGTGCTGAAGCCCGTCGGAGGCAACACGTTTGGCTTTGACATTATGAGCGTCGTCCCCGGTCTGGAAGGCTTCATCAAGGGCCAAGTCGATGCCAATGTCGGTCCCATGATGTGTGAGTGGGGCAGTAAAGGAAGAAGAATTGTGTACGTCGTGCTAAGCTTTAGCCCTCCGTTTACCTTCCTCCACTACTGGCAGACAATCCCAACCAATTCACGATCAATCTCGAAGAGCTGCTTTCGGGCACTCCGCTCGACACTGCGTGTGGAGTGCTCCAGGTTACCATCTGGAACGCCCGCAACCTCAAAGCGGTCAAGCTGGGAGGCGGCACACCGGACCCGTACATTGCCGTGTCCATCGACGCGAAGGATACTCTGGCAAAGACAAAGTACAAGCACTCCACTTCTAACCCACAGTACAAGTCCAGCCACTTCATCCTTCTCAACAGCCTCAACGGGATGCTCACCTTTTCGGTCATGGACTTCAACGAGCATCGATCCGACTCACACATTGGCCAAGCTGCGTTCGACCTCGCAGAGCTTGAGGCCGAACCTGAGCACGAGAATTTGAGCACACCGGTTGTGCACGAAGCCAGGGAACGTGGCTCGTTGCAGTACTCACTGTCCTACTACCCTGTCATCAAACCTGAAGTCGGTCCAGACGGGAAACCTGAGCCCCTGCCTGAGACAGTATCTGGCGTCGTCCGGCTCACAATTCATCAAGTGAAGGGCCTCGACAAACCAGCTGGTATCATTCGTGACGCAAACCCGAAGGCGCGTCTTCTGCTGAACGGCAAAAAGATCAAAGAGACGCGTGTGATTAAGAAGACTTTGGATCCCATTTTCGAGGGTGAGTCTTACAACACCCGAAGCTAGGCCAGTGAACCTTATCGCTCATTAAGACTCCACTTTGATCTGGCGAAGAACACTTCGAGTTCCTGGTTACTGAGCGACGCAAAGCCGTTATTGGTATCCAAGTCGTCGATCACGCCTCGCCTGCAGGGTACCTGAGCGTCAAGTTGGACGATCTGCTGGCCGCTAAAGAGCGTCAGCAGGACTGGTTCCCATTGACCCGCTCTAAGGAAGGCCGCGTGCGGATGTCTGCTCAGTGGAAGCCTGTCCTCATGAGCGGCAGTGTGAATGGAGGATCGGGCTATGTGCCATCCATCGGAGTTCTCAAATTCCACATGCACAGAGCAAAGGAGGTCAAGAATGTCGAAGCTGCAATGGGAGGAAAGTCGGACCCATACGTCACACTCAAGCTGCGTGGTCAGCAAGTGGATGGTTCGGTGATCGTCAACAACAACTTGAATCCCGAATGGGACGAGATCCTGTATGCTCCGGTCCACTCGCTCAAGGAAAAGGTCACGATCGAAGTCATGGACTATCAAAACAGTAGCAAAGACCGTTCACTTGGAACCACAGAAGTCAATGTCGCTGAGCTAGCCAACGAAGGCAGAGGCACCCGCGAAGTGCCCTTCACCGGCACCGGTAAGAGCAGACGAAAAGACAAGATCCACCTCGGTCGTGGCGCCTACAAGGGTGAAATCGAATACGACGTCGAGTTCCTTGGCGCTACTGCCCTTCATGGCGTTGAATTCGAGGGCGCTGGCAACGAAGCTGCTAAGAAGGCAGGTGACGGCGAGGACGAGGATGGTGATGATCCCGATGCCAAGGAGGGCGCCGAAGCTGAAGAGGATGCTGCTCTTGGAGAGGACGCCAAAGCCATGACCAAAGCAACTGTCTCTTCGGGTCTGAAGGAGGACGATGCGGCTGCCACGCAAACTTCTTTAGCGCACCAAGCTTCCCAGAAAACCCACAAGAAGAAGGAGTCGGTGGCCACGCTCTCATCAGTCAAGACCGCCGCTACCGCCCAAACAGACGTTTCCAAAAAAGCCGTGGAGGGGGTCGAAATGTCGCGCGAGCAGCTTTTGAATTCTCGTGAGTGGCAACCATCTCACAAAGCCAAAGAGGCGCATTTAGGCTGACAGAAGTTTTGCGTACACTTGCGCCAGAATCGGGCATCCTTGTGTTCAATCTTCTTGGTGGCCAGCTGGCGAGAAAGAATGCTCGACTTGAGGTCTCCTTCGACGATGGGTACTGGCCAGTGTATACCACTGAAGCTTCTAGAACGGAAAAGTGCACGTGGGACGAGGTTGGCGAAGCGGTCATCAAAGAGCTCGACTGGAGCCGCATGTGGCTCAAGCTTCGCACTGGCTCGAACGACAATGACATCTTCGCTGAGTTTCAAGGGAACACCAAGGATGTACTTGAAAGGACGCTGGACAAGGTTGGCGAACTCACCTTGGCTTCGGACGCTGGTGGAGGAACCTCCACTGTGTCGCTCACGTGCAAGTACATTCCTTGCGATGTACACCTCGAGCCCGTAGAGAGCGTCAACAGTAAGTCGGCCACGCTGCATGGTGGCAAGGTGATGCTAATGCTAACGCTGACTGCCTACTTTTCCGACAGACACCGGCTTTTTGCGTGTTGACGTGGTCAGCGCCAAGAATTTGCGGGCCGCAGACCGCGGTGGCAAGTCTGACCCCTACGTCAAATTCAATTTGAACGGCAAAGAGACTTTCAAGTCAAAGATCGTCAAGAAGACAGTCAATCCTGAGTAAGTCGTCTGCATCGCTTCACCCGGACCTCGTGCTGACTTATCGGATCTCTTTGCAGATTCAATGAGTCACTTGGGGAGTGTGAGGTGCCATCTCGCGTCAAGGCGGAAGCCCTCTTCGAAATATTCGACTGGGACCAGGTTGGCATTGATGACAAGCTTGGCGAAGCTCGCTTAGATCTCTCCGACCTTGAGCCCTTCCAGGTATGTCCATCGCAGATTCGGCGTACGACACGAGAGCTGACCGTCGGCTCGTCATTCGTCCACAGGCTACCGAAAAGGTGTTGCCAGTGACAGGGAAGGGTGCCGGAGAGGGCGGTTTCCTCACCGTGCGGCTGGTCTTCCGTCCAGAGTTCATCGCGACGCGCGGCCGCAAGGGTACCTCGCTCAATCTTGGCAGGTGAGTCTTAGAGAGTGATCTATTCCACGAGATGGGCTAGTCGTCTAACGACATTATGTCATTTGTATTGCTATCAGGACCTTCACTGCCGTCGGTGGA